AAACAATGTTAAAGAACACATATTTACCTTGGCCAGTACTATCATCTGTCATAATGTTCTGAAGGTCAAGCCAGTCCACAGTCAGCCTCTTGACCAACAGGTATGCATTAATTGGGTTTCCCAAAAATGCTTCAGGTGAACGAGATGCTTCATCATGGATTCGCTCCATCTCTACGACATCTCTGCACATAAAAAATAACAGAATCTTACAAAAACAATTTCAAAGGAAACAACATAACAAACCATTCTACTCTATTACATACTTGCACACACAAGACTTAAAACAAGAATAGCATCTTATGAAAGAAAGAAAACAATGGGGATGAAAAAGTATAATGATTAGTTACTATTTTGCTTCTACAAATATATCAACAAAACCTATAACCATTACATCTAAGAAATAAAATACTACTTTACTACTTTCCCATATAGAAGATAACCCCTGAACTATATAAATCTTCAAACCTTTAAATCAAATTATAGTCTAAAACACAATTAAAATTCAAACCCAGACAGACATGGAAAAAGAGTAAATGAAACCTTTGAACCACCAATATTTAAACAAAGTGTCATTACCTTTTCAACTTCATGAGTTTTTCTTCCTGTGCCACTATGTAATTTTCAACTGCTCGTATCATCTCCCCTTCCGTAACGAGAAGCCGACTCATGTCTGTCATGGAGGTAAAAACTTCCCCCATGCTTGGCACAGCAAAAAGTGTGAAAACGAGTATCCACAGCATCTTCATTGCTTCTGTAATGTTTAAAAAAAGTATTTTAATATAGCTGCCTTTCTTAGGAAACACGTGTGAAAGTGAGAGTAAGTGTGACTAACAGTAAGAGTAAAAGAAGAGGGAGGGGGGAAGGGGGAGACCATGAACGTAAAACGGAGAAAGGAGATAGAAAAGAAAAAGACAAAGAGAGATACGGAGAAAAAAGAGGCAGTAAGAAGACGAGAGAAGACAAGATGAAGAGATGAGTAGATCGCGGCAGTGGAAGGAGAGATAAATCAATCAGCTGAGACACCCGGAGGTGAGGGAGCGAGAAGAGGAGAGGAGAGCGGATGAGGATGTGTGGTCAGGGGTTCTGGTGGAAGGCACCTAAGTGAGACGAAAAAAAAAAAAAAAAAAAAAAAAAAAGAAAAAGAAAAAAAAAAAAAGCGAAAAAAAAAAAAAAAAAAAAAAAAAAAAGAAAAAAGAAAAAAAAAAAACAAAAAAAAATAAGAAAGGGAGAAAAAAAAAAAAAAACCGAAAAAAAAAAAGAGAGCACGGGGCGAAAGGAGAGATACGGGTGACGAGGCCGGAGAAGCGAGACGTGGCGCACAGCGGATGAACTAGAGCGCCTGTGAGAGAGGGAAGAGCGTGGTCGGCTCGCGTGCGAAGTGGATGCGAGGGACAAAAAGATGAGAGAGCTCGACGGAGGCATTGCTCGTGGAGCATGAGAATGTTTTAGGATTCCGGCGGGGCTGACGGTGGAGGCGAGTGATGGAGGTTCTTGATGACCACAGACGGAGTGATGATGGTCGGAGCGGCCAGCGAGACGAGCTCTGGAGGACGGCCCGTGCAGAGATAGAGCAGATGATCTTGAGAGAGACGACGGTGGCCCTGAATCGAGAAGAGACGAGATGCTAGCGGCGGGGCGAGCGTGGGGGTGATGGAAGCGGGCGGCAACGGGCGGGGCGACCTTGCTGCGAAGGCCGCCGAGAGAGAGAGTGCGGAGGTATCGGCGCGCGAGGGGCGGACGTATCAGAGTGTGCCTACGGAGGCGAGAGGGGGGGTGACTAGACAGGGGGGTAAGGACGTCAGGCAGGGTGATGGCTGAGGACTCGAGAGGTGAAAAGTGAGAGGCATGGGCAGCGTGCCCGAGGTTGAGGGAGGGAAGAGGAAGAGCAGAGAGAGAGAGCGGGGGAGAGGACGAGGAGGTATGGAGGGGTGAGGAAGGGTGGAGGTAGTACAGAAAGAGGAACGGGAAGAGAGAGGGGAGGAGAGAAACGGAGAAAGTGAGGGTCAGCGAAGCAGGAAGGAAAGAGAGAGGTGTAAGAGTTTATGGGAGAAAAGATGGGGACAGAGAGGGGACTGCGAGAGAGGAGGAGAGGATAGAGGAGAGAGAAAGAGGGGGAGTTCCAGACAGGAGCAGAGGCAGACAAAGAACGCGAATGCACACAGGCCCAGAAGAGGACATAAGGGGGGGGAAAGAAAGCGAAAGTGTGTGGATAGGAAGGAATGGGAAGGCGCGACGGACGGCCGGGCGACGGGATGGGGGAAGGTAGGTAGGAATTCGGAGCGAAGGAAAGACGGGGGAGGGGGGAGGAGGAGGAGGACGAGCAGGGAGGAGATGAAGGAGGAAGAAGAGGAGGAGTTATAGATTCTGGAAATCCGAAACTTGGAAAGAGATGATATTCGATTATCTTCTTTTTTTCTTTGGTCCCGCGAGAGAGAAGAGGATAGAAATAAAGAGAAAGATCGGTATTATGGAAATGAGAAAAAGACCGCAGAATGGTTAATAGAAGAAGAAAAGAGAGGCAGGAGCGATGAGAGAGGACGAGGACCGGGAGAGAGGACAGAGACAGTGAGATTCACGTGAGAGAGCGAGAGAGAGGAATTATGATTTCACTTATACATGAAAAAGGAGAGATAAGAAGCGTGGGATGGTATACTCTTTCTTTGTGTTAAGGCATTAATATAGTATCACCTCAAAATTAATATTGAGTAGAAATGAAGCATGTATTAGATATTCTTGGTAGGAACTGCATTTCGGAGTCATATTATGAGGATTTTAATTTTATCTCGCAGGGAGAAACTTAGATTATCATTTATATATAGCATAACAATGTAGGAGAGCGTTATCTGCCACTAAATATGGATCTCTGCTTTTGGGAACTGGTTATCCAATCTTCATATATATATACTTTAGAGGGCGGCTAAGGGTAATCTACTGTTGTTGGTTCCTTTTCTGCCATGAGAAAATGGTAACAAAACGCGTAAATAACCGTAATTTTTCATTTGTTATACATTCACGACGGTTATATACATTCATGAGGAAATTTCCCCAAATATATGCAACGTAACATAAATAAAAGAAACAAAAAAACATTAAAGCGAGACAGAATCAGAAAAAGGAGAGGGAAAAGAAAAAATAAAAAAAATAAAAATAAAAAGAAAAAAAAAAAACAAAAAAAAGAGATACAGACCGAAAAATAAATCACCAAAAAAACAGAGACGTTATATATGATTAGATGATTAGGTCGGTGATTTGCGCGTTCATTATATAAGTATAGAGTCAGTATGTACAGTAATTATGAATAATGTTAATCAAATATTATTATATACGTAGCAGGATAGTACTGTACATACGACAGTAGAGTAGGTATAATCAAGATATAGTAAGTTAGAACACCACACATCAACTCGAATACACCACACAGAGACAAGCACGAGAATGAAAGGCCGTGAATAATACTACGAGATAGCTAGTAGATATAAGTATAAGTATGCAGTTATAGTATAATCTCAGGTCAATAGGCATATAGTATATATAAGATTATATAGTATATACATATCAGATACCGTAATATATTTTATATACACTAATAGTATAATCACCGTGTGAAGATGAGCCGGAACATATTAGTAGATGAAGTTGAAACGTACGATGGTATAGATAGCACCAGAAGTAATAGTATATTATATATAACACTGTGAAGTTATATACACTATATATAAATATATAGATATGATGTATTAGGTATATATAATATTATACTAATTATGGTGAGTTATGACTATACTATATACTATCAGTAAATATTATAAGTAGTGTAGTATCCTGATTGGACTGTATGTCGTTGTATTAGAATGTATATATAGGATGTATACTAGTTATATCATTACTTATAAGATTATACTATCTATATATATATAGTATTCCTAGTATAAGGTAGATAGCTATAGTATACACGCGACACTCACAGACCACACACACACAATTAGTATCATATAGTTATATATATAGTAATATATAATATTATATATATATAGTATATATATATGGATACTATATAATATATAGTATATACTATGTCCTGAATAAGAGATATATATATACATATAATGTAGATATAGTATAGTAATAATATAATATATATATTATAGTAGGGAATATAATACGATAGGTAATATATGATATTATATTATATATGATCTATAGGATATAGATATACAAGATATAGTAGATATAATAGACTAATAATATATATGAATATATGAAGGTAATGTAGTATATATAGAGAGATATATATAAATATAGATAGTATATATATTATATTAATATGCCACACACGAAACACACACCACACGACACACACACACACACACGAGCGCAGCACAGCACACCACACATATATTATAATATATACAGAGGAAATTGAGATCTTGACCCGATGTTGAACATGCATGAACTGATAACATTAAGGAGACGGATAGAATGCGTCATCGAATGGCAAATAGACGACAATCTTGGCCGGATATGGATCGCATGTTCGTGTGTGACGAAAAAATAATTCGGTTTGCAGGACGGGAGTATTTCCTCTGCTAGTCCCGCGGGCTTTTCTGCCATCTGAGGAATTCCTAACTAGCACTTAGAGGTATACTCCTGGCTCCCAGGTGAGAGAGGCCAAGTGGCGACTCCGAGGCAATTATCTGAATTAAAACGACGCATCAGAGAAGGACCTCTGAAGGTCATATTCACATTGTGTTTGGCTGAATTTCGGCCGCATCGACAAGTCAATTTCTGGTGATTTTACTTATGCAAGCTACAGGTATGTTGATAGTCTCATGTCCATATCTCCATGTAAAATCCAAAACAGACAGACTGTGGAACAGCATTGTAAAAATGCCGCGAATAAAGCGAGATTTTGTAAAATATTCACCGTCAATGGCTAGTACGCGCGTTCACGTGTCACCAGCCACGAATGAAGGAGTATAGAGGAGAGACAAATACTGACGTTTAATGCTGAGAGCGTTCGCTCTCCCTTCGCCAGGTGGCGTTCGTTTTCCTGGAACTCTGACCAGCAATGTCAAAGGAAAAATTACAGACGTTTTAAGCAAACAGCAGCGCACCCACACCACACACACACACACACCACACACACACACACAACGCACGGCAGCGCACCACACACACAACACACACACACACACACACACACCACACACACCACACGCACACACACGCCAACACACACGCACACCAACACGCACACACGACACACGCACCGCACGCACGCACGGCACACACACACACACACACACACCACCACACACACACATACACAGAGGATCGTAGGTATTATATATCATATCATATAAGATAGCTATATAATTATATAATATATAGTAAGTACATAGCATAACATACATAGCATAAGTATATATTATATATACAGGATAGATATATAGTATATATATAATAGATATATATAATATATAGACTATATATATATATTAGAATTATCATATATTAGGGTTTGATTATTCGAATGTAGGCGAAATTTTCCATTATAAGATCATTAAAACAACAAACAGCGAAAAAGATAACACCGATATTACGGCGAGGAATGAAGGTGACTCTCCCATAAATGCTATTTTCGGACGAAATGAAATCCACAAACAAACGGCAGCTGCTGCCACGTCGACTGCAGGAGACGATGCAAGACCCAAAGTATAAACTGGCTCCATCAGTTGAAAAAAGGAGGTC